ATATACATGCTTTCAGTTTTGGTATAGAGATCATGGTGGCCTTGACGGCCCAATCAGGACTTCTGTGCTAGTTGACAATTTCTTTATATGAACTCTTGGGAGTAGCTGTTTCTTTTGTAGATCTGTTGACAGGGGCCTTGCCGGCCAATGGCTTAGTTTTAAGCCGAGATATACTTGTTTGTTTTCTTAAATGCATGTGACTGCCATGCGCTAGTAGCAAATGGTTCAGCAGGGTCGGCTCGGGCCTGAGTTTTGGCCTTAGGAGCCAGTTGCGCCCCTTGAGTTTGGGGCGTGACAGTTCCTTTGTACATAGTTTTTTGTTTGCTTCTTGTTTTTGTCTTTGCTTATTGTTAGCATTATTTTCTGTTTAATTCTACCCTTATACTCACTACTTTTTTTTCTTGGTATGGGCCAGCTTACCTACTAGTGGGTTTTAGTAGGTGTCATCATCACTCGGAAAGTTGGTTCTTGACATCCCTATTGGGTTGAGCCGTCATAGCTTGAGCCAACACTTGAAAAACAGCCTTAAACTCCGCATTGGTCACTTGTTCGATCAAAGGGACGGCTGGAACTTGAGGAGCTTGAGGAGTTTCCTGTTCCACATTCTCATTCACATTCCTCCTAACGTGTGATCTTCAAGGGGAAATATCTTGAAAAGTATCGAATAAGGATTAGGAGAGACATATAGAGTTACACTCTATCGCACGACTTTATGTAATGAAAGAAGTGAAGTTTCGTAAACATCTTATAGCTTCTCATTCATAAATGTGGCGTGCTTCACAGTCATGAACAAGACTCTACTCGACGTGGCTTAGAGATTTCCTAGGACCTTTCTAAACCTTGTGCACTAAATACCAAGTTTGTCACGATCCAAAGTATACCCTAGGCGTAACATGGCATATAAGACCCTGAGAGGCCCTACACAAGTCACTTAGCATACATCATACAAGATAATGGAATTTAAAGAATTCAAAAGATAGTCTTATATCATAAAGAGTGTGACAAAATCAAAAGTCTAACATAAGTCTCAAGCCATCAGTACATCATAAGGAAAGTGATTGGGACGTAACTCATACATCACATACAACTCTAAAACGAAAATGACTTAGAGCAGTAAAGAAGTTTCGGTCCTCGAAACATGAGGACCCACCAATCTTCAACCGAAGCAACCAAGGGATGTCTAGTCACGAGAGTGTCGAATAGGAGTGTCAGACCCTATATTAGTGAAATAGTGTTGACACAAGTATGCATTAGTACATAGAATGTACTAAGTATGATAGCAATGCATCAGAGTTATGAAATCATGCTAAAAGGGACTTTATATGACATGCAATGACCAAGCTAAATCATAAAATAACATGTTAGAAAACATACGCCATAATCTTGGTCAATGCAAGGTAAACAACTTTAGAACACATGTGAGATACTTTTAGAAATTAACCTTAGTTTGTTATTGTGAGAAGTTTGTCATTAACCGGCATAGACCATGTGAGCTATAACATGGAATCCGGTGTCTA